CTCCGAGACCTTCTTTGATCTGCCCATATCCCTTTGTTGAGGACCTCCTTCGTATCGTTTCCAGTCTTCTTTCAGGAGTTTGCTTGGCAGTCTCCTTTCCTATAGGGAGTAATTTCAAATCCTGCAGATCGATAAACCCTCTAGCTACGGACTGTCGCCGTTTTGAAGCCGCGTCTCTTTTATACTTGGTATCATTGGCAAAGTTCGTCACGAGATTAAGGCCAGGGCGTATCTTTTTCGCGGGACCCTCCTTGCCATTCCGTTTCATGATGGTGCGACCAGGGCGTTTGATGGAATCCCAACGACTAGGGCGAGGAGCCTGGGAGGGTTCATCAAGGAGGTTCTGCAGATCGTCCGTTCGACCAACATTATTGCCCGCATAGCTGCTATTCAGAAATACCACTTCGCAGAAATTGTCTTCGGTCGATTCGAAGGGGTTGGCTTGGTCTGATTGAGCCAATTGCGAGCTCCTGGGGGATTCAAATGGAGTGGGAATTTCCTCTCTTATAGGAGAAGATAAAGGAAAAGTAGGCATTGTATGAACGCGAAGGTGTGAAGACGGCAACACGTCGTTAGATGAGGGAACCTCGAATGGGCGATGGGTATTCATCTCGGTAAGTCATTAACGACAGACGAACGTACTGAAATAAACCACCTCCAAAGTCAATACGTGCATCAAGTCTACAGAAGCAGTCAACACAGGAGATACTCACCATATGTTTTTAAGATCCTCCGCTGTTATCGAGAATCCCAAACACAATCTTGATAGGAGATACTCGAAACAAGGCGAAACTGCATGGAGTCATCTAAACATAGGAATTTATGGAGTCGACATTATGGGAAATTCCTCAAGCGGAAATTCTCACAAAGATGGAATGGTCAAACAATAACAAGTAAACAAAGCGAATGTAGAGGTTATAAATGGCTGTGTTGAGATTCTTCAACAGTTCTGTTGCTGGCGAGACAGTCCTAGAGTGAATAATGTAAGAACAATCAAATTCTATAATTGTCAAAGGGAATACAGCTTCTGAATTGCACACAAATTATTCACTTTAAAATAAAATGTGATCTTCAATAATCAATCATATCAAGAGAAGAGATGCTAAACAACTCAAAAAATTAGAAAACAGGTGAAAGATAGAAATTGACAAAAGAAAGAAAAAATGCCAACAGACAGTACAAAGAGCAGAAGATGCTATGAGTCAAAGATTATTGAGAATATTGGCAGGAAAAGAACATCCACCCATCTCTCAGAGCCAGGTACAGGATAGAGAGTATAATTCCAATCTCAATCACAGGGACACAACCCTCCCTTGGCGCGAATTCGCACGAATCAGATCGAATTGCCTTGGCCATGGACAGGTGGAAATCATAGATTAAACAGCGATAGCTATAAAAAGCACGGTATCCCCCTTGCCAGCCAGCTGCGTATTGAGAATTAAAGGCATTTAGCTCAGGATAAACCTCGAGGGTGGGTATCTTATGGTTCCAGAAAACAATGAAAGTAGCATTCCCAGTTCATGATGGGCGCTACCAGCCACGACTCAGACGAGTTTGTACATCTCTTCTGCCCAATCGGTGGAGATGAGTACCTGCATCTTCCACAGAACCTGGCCCGCCGTGTGTATCCGCATAAAGCGTGAGCAACGAACGGCAATATGGGGTGGGGTAGGGGTGTGTGTGTGTGTGTGTGTGTGTGTGTGTCCGACTCAACCCAACCGCCTGCTCTCTAGACCAACCACCAGCATGAACCGTTTGCTATTAATCCCGGGTGGTAGGACGGTGTCTGGCGAGTACTCACCGTCCAGTCAGGGGATTGGATAGAGCACTGCAGCGAGGGCAGATGAATGCTGATGCTACGAAGGATTACTCAGGGAACGTGAGTGAGCCTGTGAGAGCAAAGAACAACGGGGGTTCAAGTCGAGCAAAGAATGGAGTGACGTTGAAACAAGCTAAGCGGCTCTGGCCAACCACGGGTCGCAGAGGAGGCTCCACGGACTGATAGGGCGGCAAGCCGAATTAGTCATGGTTGTTGGCGCCTGGTTGGAGCCTGTCATTGGTCCAACGGGGAAAACAAGCCAATTCCATCGAGACTGAAACCTGTCATTCATTCTCTTCCAACCGAGAGCGCTGATAGACATTGTCAATTGGTCACTGCTTTATAGCACAATGGACAGTGTCCGGGAAGACTGAAGGTTAAGCGAGGTATTCAATTATATTAAACATCATCTGCCCAGCTACCAGCCATCCCCAACCCCGATGGATAACCACCCAGTCTGGAACAATGCTGTTAACAGATCAACGACCCTGAAAGCATTGCCCACGTCAAAAGGGGTTGGATTATTTATTTTACGGCGGCTACCTCATTGTGGAAGAGAAATCTTATCTGGAGCATATCTGGGCGAGGAAAACTGGAGAATTGAGCAATGACACAATCACCGTCCTCAAGCCAGCAAGAACTGTGGGAATGCTACTGTTATGAATCGTCTAACCAATAACTACGCTAAGACAGGTTCTTATTGGGACGATTGAAGTGGATCCTTAATCTAGAGGAACTGTTCATAGGCCCAGTCGCAAATTTTACAGAATTGGAGTATCTAATCGATACTTACCAAGTAGAATATGAGAAAGAAAGGTCGCAGTCCGATGTTCAAGTACTGGCAAGATCTGGGCTACAGCATCATGGGCCAATTCAACACAACCCTTTAAGGAATACTATCCATAACGATATCATCCTTCTGATCCCTTTGCGTTTTCACGTACCGTGAGGTCGCGTCGGATATACAAGCATACGGATTGCCCTCGATCGACTCAAACCTCCAATCTGAGCAGCGGGAAACCCAGCTTTCCACTTCCTAGAGTTGCAGGTTTATGAGCGAGTCACCTTTCGATGAAGGTGCAAACACAGCGGAAAAAGATGTTAAAAAGCATGAGCAGCTCAATGCTACCCTTCTCCGAAGGTCATATCTTTTTTTGAAAATAAAAAGATCTTAAGTGAAAAATAAATAAATATACCTCTTAGGAGATATATTTACTAAAACAAGGATCAGAAATGATATAAACGTCCAATATATATATATATATATATATATGTATATGTATACCACATCATCCGGGATTCGCTGGTGGTCACCCTCCCAACCAGCTGCAACCGGCCGGCAGGAGGTTCAAGTACAGCTAAGCGGACGGGAATCCCTGCTTTCCACTCACTGTGATCGTATGTGCCAGATAGTGTATAAATTTTGATATATGATGTCAACAAAGCCCGTACGTTAAAGCTTCAACGTCCTGTCTGACACAAACCAGCAGACCAGCATTTCATCTCCATCATCGTTTATCTTAATAGCTGCCTTGAGCAAGATCGTCGAGATAATTTTGAAAGGTAGGCATGTAAATTTAGCATACCCAAACACTCAAACAACAACCCCATTAAAAAAGGCAATACTTAGTACCAACATTCATTCCTTCATAACCAACCGTGTGTTTATCTGCGCAGAGTTATTCGGTTGATTGATAAATTCTAACATTGACACCATCCATTCTGCTTCTTACTTCTGTCATACCTCATGCAATATCTGTGATCTCATCCTGCCCATTCTTGCCTCACTTCCCTCGTCTCAGTCTTCCCTGACTACTCTCAAACCAGCTTAAACCACATTAGATAAACCAAGATCTCATAAAACAGAGAAGAAATGGCAGTATTATAAGCTGAACATATTCTGTGATAAGAGTAGGAAATATATAGAACGAAATAAAAACGAAATTCAGTAATAGCAATATATTTTCCGAGTATGCAGGAGATAAAAGTTGGTGTTAAAGTAGAAGTTGAAAAGATTAAACTGGGAAGGTTATGATGATATTGAATAGAGGTAGATTTAAGATAGAAAAAGGGTAAAATGAAAATATGAAGACATTGATGGGGTATATAGTATGTACGCATAGTTAAAGTAAGCATTGAGTTAGTTTATGCAGTGTAATATAATGTCATAGGAGTTCAAAAGGGGGAGAAACTTGAAGGATAAAGTGATCATGGAAAAAATGACAAAAAAAGAGCAAATTACAGCACAAAGGAAAGAACCCGTCTTTGGTGTATCTGGCTGAAGAGATAAACAGAAAGAACTTTTAGAAGCAATATGAAGAAAGGGAATATGGGAAGAGCAAACATCTGGTTCACAAAAAGGAAAAGAAATATATAAACAAGGGAACCAAGTGGCATAGTGGTATCAGGAGGTGTAAATGGTATAAACCTTCCAGCCAACGCACATAGGCATAAAGAAAAAAGACAAAGAAAAAACTCCCAGTTCAGTCTTGAGGGAGAGTTTCCAATCAATGAAAATCAACAATACAAAAGTGAGCCAAGTAAATGGCGGTCCTTCGCCAGGTAGGACTGTTGATGGCGTAAAATTCAGGGGAAGAAAAACACGAAGACAGAGAAATAGAGAGGGAAGACAAGACATAGAAAAAAGAAATACCACATAGCTAACGCAGACACACATCCAATTCAATCCGTCAACCATATTAATATAATATAGTCGAAAAAAATCAATACGAAATCTTCCCAATTCACAATTCCTTGCAGAAAATAAGTACTCATGTAAGCAACAAACATCGCTAAATGAAAGGTTGGATTTTATCAGCCTTGTCGTTGAAGGTTGGTAGGCCAGTTAGTCAGTCTTTGTTTCAACATGTGTCGTGTCACGGGTGTACTGTGAAGTGGTGGGCTGCGGTGCGGTTGCTGGACTCTGCGGGTTGTAGATGTGAGGTTGTAGACTGGAGCCCGATATCATTGGCATCACCGCACGACAGGTAATATATGACCATATGGCTGATGCCAGAGCAAGGGTTATCATAATAGTAGGTGGGTATGTTGGTGGTGGACAGTGATGAATAAGTGTCCGATGCGAAGAGGTGGAGAGGGACGCAGGCAGGTAGGCAGGGTTACAGATGGAGGGATGGGAAGGCAGAAAATCTTAGATTTCGGAAGTGGCCCAGTAAAATTATCATCGCCGGTCCTCAGTATACTGCACCCCTTGCATAGGGGCCAGTGCCCCATTCATCAGGGGTGGCAACGTCCTCGCCGGATCCATTTGCGGTGGTGTATGCACAGGATGTGAGGGTTGCTGAGTTGCTGTGGGCGAAGAATATGGGCCGTTAGTAAAAATCTGTGCCTGTCCTGCTTGAGACTGTGGTGATATGCCGTTGGTCTGCAGTTGGGGCCGGTCGTAGGGTGATTGTTGTTGCTGTTGGTGTTGCTGCTGTCCACTCGCTTGCCGGTGAAGCTGATCATTTAGTTGTTGGCGTAGATCGTTGACTTCGGCCTTTAAAGCGCCGGTTTCATGGCGGGTTTGTTGGATGGTTTTTTCGAGTTGGCCGATGTATTCGATTGCTATGTAATTGTATCTGTTAGGATTACGTATTCACTTGCTGGAAATTATGAAAAGATGAAAATAAGAAAAAAGGCTTAAGCCACCTCTCGTCAACGTCTCCCATTTACTAGACTTGCTACTCTGGCTCGACGGCAGCCGTGATCGCAGAAGCTCAAAACAGTCCTTCATTTCGCTTCGTCTTTTACGCTCAGCCAGTTTATGTGTAATGCGCAATTCTGGGGTTCTGCTGTACGGCGTGGTGCCATTTGGCGACTCTGGGTCCCCCATTAAATCTCTAACCTGTTTCTGCTGCAATGAATGATGATGGACACTCTGAGGTAGTTCTATTTATCCCATGAAAACCACAAAGGTTATTAGAAATTATGCAATTCAAAAACAACTGATATATATTTGGGAAAGTAAAAGCGAACAAACCGTGTTGGCCATGCGGCAATCTGGAATCCGTAGTAAACACACTGCTAGTAATAGATTCCACCGTGCTCCCCCGCCGGATAAACGGACTAGATGGCTGGCCACAGCTTCCCTTGTCGGACGCACGAGCCATATCGGGGTCCGGAAAGGCATAGGCTTGGCCTGCCGTAGGAGACTCTGCATTGTAAATTTCTGCATGAGGGTTGCTAGAGATAGCAGGAGCAGTGCGGCGCACCGGAAAGGAACGATGGCCATTCCTGGGACCGAGCGGAGAGAGCGGATGGTCTCCATTATAACGAGGGCCGCGCTGGCTGGTAATGTTTGAATAATCACTAGAAATGCCGCGATCGCGTTGCAAGCTGGAAACAATAGAGGACTGAGAGACATTTGTGCTGTTGTATGGAGAGGCAGGGTTAATGGCTAAGGAACTAATCCCCTGGTTCATTCTACTGTCGACACTGCTGCGACGAGATTCGGGGAAATCTGTCGGAGGGCGTTGGACGGTACCGTCGAAGCTTTGGTTTATTGAAGGGAGTACGGCACTTGGCTGGTGGGAGGTGTAGCTTGGCGAATGTTGTTGAGGGCCCCCGGTTACGGAGGACGGAGTATTTGGTTGATCTTGTGAGGATTGCGAATGCGATCGAGATTGAGATTGAGGCTGCACTTGAGGCTGAGGACGGTCAGATACGCCTGTGGAGAGGCGTTTCGGGGAGTGCTGAGAGGAGGTGAGGTAAGAGAACTGGGCATAACCACTGGTGCCATTGGTGGTGTTGGAATATGTGGAGGAGCCTAGGAAGATAGATGAAAGTTGAGTTAGTTGGCGGTTTTAATTAGAACTGGTTTCACTTGGCTGAATACATCATAAAAACGACATTCTTTGGGGGGGGGGGGGGGAGAGGGAAAAAAATCAAGGCGGATAAACATACGGGCACTCTGGGACATGGACCAATTGCCGGAGTCGCGCTCAACGGTATTCAGGGAGGACTGCACCGGTGATTTTTCTGCAGGGGGAATATTACCGAGACACATACTGGCGGTGAGGGTGGAGATCGAGGGGAGTTTCTGTGAATTGTGCTGGCCAACCCGGAGTTCCTCCCACGGGCGGTATGAGACGGATACATCCATCTGGCTCGATGGGGCGCCCTTTGGAGCACGGTGGCGGGAGGAGGAAAGGACGACGATTTGGATAGAAGTATAGTGAGGAACAAGTCAAGGGAGAATAAGGCCAAGACCGAGACAGAGAGATTTAGGGTTAAAAGAGAGGAAGAATGGGGTGGGTATGGTGATCGTCTTGATACCTGTTGCCAAGAGGTTAGAAGAAGCCAGACAGTTGAGGATGGAGAAGGGATGGCATGGTTGAGAATGTGAACAAGGAGGAGAGTGCTGTAAACCAGTGGGGTGATAGGGGATAAAAAAGAGCATGCGGTGAGAAGGTGAGAGAGACAAAATAAGGAGAGAGAGTGGGCCCCCCCCCCCTTCCCCCCCAAAGTGCGATTGGGG